TTATTTACAAACATTAAATATATCATTAAAGCGGAACTATTTAAATAAATTATGGAAAATAAAGCGCTGCGTGGGCGTCAACAACATGCACGTACGTACGTAGACGTAGACGTATATTTATGTGCCGTATACTGCTAGCACTCACTGTCGCCGCGTGTGAGTGTGAAAAGTTTTCTAGCATTTCTGTGAGGCCTCATTAGCCGTGACATGCACTTGATGCAGGGCCGCTTGTCAGTCGCTTTGAGAAAGTGTCTTGAGGATTAGGCCAGGTCAAGTTAGCTCTCTCGCTCGCTCGTTTACTCTCCTCTCTCTATCTTGTCGTCTATCAATATTGTGTACACGCCTCTTTTTTTGCTAAAAATAAATTTAGGCATTGCCTGCTGGACCCAGTGGCAAAGCAATCAAAGAATTATACGAATTCTTTATAAATAAACCCAAAACAAAAAGAAAATCAATTAGATATATATTTATTTATATGTATATTTATATATAAATATATATTCTATGCCTCGCCGCTTAAAAAAATCAGCTAAACACGCAAAACAATTCTATATATACATATTTATATATATATAAATTTTGTTATTCATTCTATTGTTTATTTTATTATATTATTATATTTTTTCTATTATTGAATTTTTGTGTGTTTTTTTTCTGTTTTCCTTTCACTTGTTTTTGTTGTGGGCGCAACGGAAATTTCGTTTTACACTCACTTTATACTACTTAGATATTTTATTTTATTATATTGTTGTTTTTGCTAGACGCAAATGCGCAAACGGAAGACTTTGTCTCGATGAGAAATATGGTTTCGGCTATATTATATTAGTGAGCAATCAATAAATGAAGTATTTTAATAAATAAATGTGTAAACCTTTGTTAGTATATAGTTAATAATATGTCAATTATATGCTCTTTGTTATAATATAAAAAATAATAATAATAAAAAATAAGTATGCAATTAAAAAAACAGCTTTATTTTATATTATAATATATAATTTGCAAATTAAAATTATATATTTTAATATATATAATATAATATAGAAATTTGTATAATTATTAAGAAAATATATATTGTAGTTAAGAAAATTGTCTTTTCGTTCGTTAAGTATATTTTTATTATTATTATTTATTTCTTATTAACTCAAATTTGAATATTTAAATATTTATAATTTGAGCTCATTTATCATATAAATAATTCCTATGCTAGGTACTCTGAATTCTTGCAATATTTTGGCATTATTAATTGTTTATTTAATTGGTTATAAAATAAGGTCAATAAATAATTAAATATTCTTATACTTTTCAAGCATAAAACTTAAAACCTTCATCAATAATCAATAAGCTGCTTACCAAATATCTCACAGATCCTAAATCTAAAATAAATTTACAAAATCAAAATTTTCCCTTAAAAATTAAATTTTTTAAGCTTCACATTCAAAGCCAAAAACTAATTCAAGTACAAATAAATGAAAAAAATTAAAATTAGCTGCTAAAATCGAAATCACTTCCATAACAATTATTATTGAAACATAAAGAATCGTAATCCCTAGCAAGAAAACCAAAAAACAAAAGCAAACAAAATTTGTTTTGTAAAATGTAACAAAAAACTTTTTCTGTTGACCTAGATCCCAAAAAGTGTAAACAGTTCGAGCTGTAAATAGAGAGTACTTAAAAAAGAGCCAGAAAATCAAGTGGAAATATCTATAGCATGAAGATATGCTCTAGGCTATAGTTAAATGATCTCCTCTGCTAGATCTGATTTTTAATCAACGTTCAATGAGCGCGGCCACATCAAAAGATAAAGAAGCTAATCGCATTGCGCCATAAAGTAGGAAAATATCAATTGTAATATAGAATTGCTATGGATATATATATGCCAACTCATACTATATATATTGGTTAGCTATATCATTTGGCTGGCTATCGCAGACAGCACGGCCGACGTCTTTAGAGTGCGTTACGTGCTCGGACCTGGCCAATTTATCATTATATACGTTGATTGTGGCCAAGTACTATACTAGCCCCGAGTTCTAGCAGCAAATCAGCTATATTTTACATATATATATATATAGATATAGAGATATATATGCGTGCCTATAGGTATTATTTGTAGAATAATAAAACTACAACTCGTTGGAAGACGCCCGCGCGGCTGCCTCGCAGCATCCATACACATTTAATACTACATGCGTGTGTGCGTATTTGTGTGTGTGTGTGCGTGTGTGTGTGTATATGTGGCACGCCGACCGACAACGACTCGCCAATTGACGTCAGCAATGCCCCCAAAGTCACAAACTGTGGCGAGCGGGCTGCCCGGCAGGCGAGACGAGGACCGAAAACGAATTCTACCCCATAGCAGGAACCCCGCTACGGCGGGAGGGTAGACGATAGGAGAGCTGAAAGATGGAGAGAGAGAGGCGGCTGGCGGGTGCTGCGGGGCCGGCGCGCAGTCATTTTGGCAGTCAGTCATACATTTGATGCTGTGCCACCTACCCTATATATATTGTGCTATTTGTTTGTACTAAATAAATGGATTAACATAGCTATGTGATGTGGTTTGCGACAATTGAGATTAAACAAAAAAAATCCATAAAAATTGATCAATAAAATTGCTAAAAATGTTAAATAATCCAAATATTTTGCGATCGAGCTCTAGCTTAGAACTGCTTGGTAGTAGTCTTTATGGTAAATCGTATTGATTTATGCGATTTGTGCCCAATATACTTATTAGTTAATTGTGTATACAAAATATGATAGTAATCCTGATCTTAAAGATCTTTAATCCAAATTTCCTACTTTAAAAACAAATTGTTTGCTGAAGTACATAATTTATATATGTTACGTAAAAAGACAGAAAAACATTTAAATCATAATTAAAAAATTAAATTAATTAATATATATTTGAATAATTAAAACAATATTGTTATAAGCTATTAAACTAAATATAATTTAAAAATTAATATTTTATTCATTATTGAATTCTATTTATTTAATAAAATAATTAAATTTAATAAATTGATTATACATTTTATAATTCAATTCAATTAATTATTTATTTAGTGAAAATATATTCAAATATATTCAATATTTAAAAAAATAATTTATTTCAATAATTAAATTTTATTTGTTTTATATAATTAATTTAAATCATTTAAGTTTATTTATCATAACAGTTTGTTAGCTTATTAAATATGATCAATAAACATATTAATTTATTTAATGTAAGTAGTATATATGTAAAGAGCATACAATATTCGAGATATCTTCCAGTTTTTTGCCTGTTTTTTTGACTTTATGGTCGCAAGTATTTCTCATGCGTTGTGCAGGTCGATCTCCTGACGCCATTGTCGCTCTTCTTCTTCTGTTTCTAGTTGTTGTTATTTAATGCAATTACATTTCACAATTCGAAACTAACTGTCCGTCCGTCCGTCCGTCCGGCTGTCTATTTGTTGGCCCACTGTTTGTATTGCTTTTCAGTTCATTTATAAGGAAATTTGTTTTAATTTTAGCAGCACGAAAAATGCATTTTTTGTTCGCCTCTGTTGACCCTTTTGACGGCATCTATTCTTGGCATGCAAAGTGTTTTCTTTTCTATTTTGTAGTCTTGTTGCTTTTTGGCCAAATAATTGAAATTGGCTTAACGTATTTCCACTTGTGTTATGTTCAATGTGCCACAGCAGCTGAGGCGGGGCATGTGGAGGGGGGCTTGGTTCGAAATAAAAGTGAAAGTTTGATTTATGAGCACACGCAGCCCGCTGGCCGCTGGCCGCTAGCTGATGGTTCTTAATGATTTATAATTAGTTTCGTGAGCTTTTGTTTTCCTTATATTCTTTTCAAGAGACCGGGATTTGCTGGCCCCTGGCCTCGAGCCAATCAATTCTGGAACGGAAATAGATATTCAAATAGAAAAAAATTAGAATAGTAGTACTAAAAATCTCACTCGATAGCTGATCCCTCTATACGTAGATATATATATCTTATATACAGATGTCTCCATGCTGTGCGGGGTTAATGGGCTCAATTTTGTTCAGATTGTGGGCCATCGCCTTGTGAGTGAGTGTGACGCAAGTGTGTGTAGCACGTCATTATGCATATGATTGATCTATTAGCTAATTGACTAATTGAGACTATACTTTGTTTAATTATATTGTTATTTGCCGAATTATGTTGTTTTGTTGCTATTCGAAAACACACAAATTTAATAAGAATTTTATCGTTTATTTATTGATTAATAATCTAACATATTTCGTTAAATACGCAGAAATATATTGGCTGCGGGGAGCAAATGGATATTCGGCTAGTAATATGTTCTAAGGAATCGAACTTGAAATCGATTGCAGATGAAATAGTCTGAGTTATAGAAAACACATATTATCGATTTATCGATTTATCGATTTTCTGTGAGTCAAGTTAATTATTATGGGGATATCGATTATTGTTGCAAGTATATCGCTTTTGACAATTTTTATGTAGCATAAATATATAAAACTGCTATCGATAACATGTCCATCGATAATTAAAAAGATCGCTAATAATAAAATTGATTATCTAAGAACTAAGAATAGTTTTCGATTATGTTTCTTAGTTAAACAAGCCTCGCAGCATAATAGAATTGGCTTAGTAAGAATGTGTTATCGATTGCTATCGATATTTTTCATTTGTTTCGATCCAACAATAGTCTAACAATTTGATATACCTTAATCCAGTATCTCTGGAAAGACACACAAAAAAGTGTAATCGATCATTTTGTCGATAACAAAATATCTTGATTTGGGTATTCTCGCTGCAAACTATACTCGCACAAGAGAACGAGTTATCGATCTTCATATATATATATAAAATCCATTTAATCTCTAGTACTTCCATTAACACATTTCCTATTTTGTAACAGCTCATAATTCTCAATGGCTTTATCTCGCTGAGCCACTATAAAAATGATCAGGCTATTAATTTATAGCCCCCTCAATGCATTTTACACATACCTTCGAACAGAAGCTGAAAATTTCTTCGATCGACCATTAATTTGTCAGAAAATCCAAATATTTTGTTAGCTGTGTAAAATGGCAAAAGAAAACCCCGAAACCTAATTTTTGTGTGTTGGCGGCGACATAAAATGAAAATGCGAACGAGCGAAAAACAATTTTCCAAATCCCAAATCACATCACGCCCTATAAATGCTTCAGATTTCGCCTCCAGCCAGGCCGATCTGTCTATTGAGTTGCCGTCTCATTTATACCGAAAATCAAATCATTTTTCGCACTGGCCATAAATCGTATTCGTATATTAAATCAAATGGCAACACTTTAAAAACATTTCCCCGAATTCCCAAAGACCCGATTCGTGATTCGTGATTCGTGACTAACTGAAATAAGAAACAAAATAAGAAGTGTCTGACGTCCATAGCCGAATGATACTTCAGATTTGCGCAGTTTTTACACTATGATTGCTTCCCTGAGTTTTTTCTTTCTTTTCTTGCGCGCAACAGACAACGCGGCGACATTTGGTTTTCTTTTCGGCGTGGGCGTAGACGTGGGCGTGGGCGTGGCACACTGTCCGAGGGCTGTAAAACAAAGCGATTTTCTATGTTAAATAATTCGAGCCGCATAAACAACAACAAATGGCACATAAAAAGCTAAAAGCAAACATGTTCACATCAAAAGTCGCTTATAAATCATAAACAAAAAATATGAAAAATATATATATATATATATAGATACTATATATATGAGTATACATTTGGCCAATATTCAATAAGAGCCCACTTCTGTTAAGCTAGATGAGACTAAGGCAATTGCTTTGTTGGCCAGGCTAAAAAAAAAAGCTGCGTCTGAGACCAGGCACCTGTCTTCGGGCAACAGGTCAAGGTTAACGCTTGATAAATTGCATATTTTCTCTCTTTCTTCATTCCAAAGACATTTTTAACATTTTTGAAATTGTTTCGTAGATTGTTCGTAAACTTCTTCATACAACGTGAAACATATTTTCATTTCAATCAGCATTTACGTAAATAATTTATGGCAGTCTGGAATATGTTGGGAATATAACTAAATTTTCATTTTCATTTAATTTAAGTTATAAACTTTTGCCTACTGCCTGGCAGAACTGAAAATATTTAACGTCTTTTGAGGCGATCTTAGATTTAAACCAAATCTTCGCAGAAGAAATGAATTATTGAAGGGCTTAATTATGACCCATCGATGGGAAGCAATGGTAGTCGGAATGGGCATTGAATAAGATATCTGATAAGACAGAGTAATGTAAGATGAGTGAATATAAGATAGAGTAAAGAAGTGTAAATTTGTATAGGGAATACTCTTGCTAAAAATTTTAATGACTATTATTTCTTTCTGTCTTTAAACTTTACTCATCATCATCAGCTTTCCTTTATAACTCAATCGATTTAATCTTCTTTTGCTATTTCTTATAATTATGAATATTGAATTGAATCATGTAAAATTAAATGGAGCATAATAAGGCTGCAATGGCTTGGGATCATACCAATGCATGAGTCTAAAACATGATATTAGATATTTGAAGAGACAAGATAAAGAACAACTGAGAGTGCTCCAGTAGAAAGTGCTCGACTAGGCAATACCCTGACCTTCGTGCAGCGCGCAAGGCATGAATAGAGAATAGGCTTAGACTATAGAGAGATGACTATGTAATACACTATTTTAAACTTACTTAAAGACCACTTCTTAATTTTTTACTAACACTTGATTCTTCTCTCTTATTTCCCTTAGAGAAACGCTCCTTCTCCTTCCGCCTGCGTCGCTCGTTCGGCGATGGCGGCAGCACGAACAGCCGCAACAGCAACAACAACAGCAGCACCTGCACCAATCACAACAATCAGAAGCGATGCAGCACGCCGTTGACGCCGACCAGCACGAGCACTGGTCGGCTGGAGGTGCCCGGGGCATCGGTCAGTCGACGCAGCAGCATTTACAAGAAGCCGGACAAGAATGACGGCGGCCAGATTCATATGATACCCGATGTGGAGCTGCCATTGATGACATTCGCGGATCAGTACAACATCGAGAAGACGCTGGCCGAGGGCTGCTTTGCCAAGATCTTGCTGTGCCGGCACAGGCCGACCAATACCACGGTGGTGCTGAAGGCGGTGCACGCCGAGCTGACCACGATCAAGGAGTTCCAGAAGGAGTTCCACTACAATTACGAGCTATCACATCACCATCACATACTCAGCGCCTATGCCGTGGCCTTTCAGACCATGGACTATCTGGTGTTTGCCATGGAGCATGCGCCATATGGAGATCTCGCCTCGAACATTGGACCGAATGGCCTGCATGAGACGGCCTGCAAACTGATTGCGGAGCAATTGAGCTCGGCGTTGGGTTTTATGCACTCAAAGAATCTGGTGCATCGCGATCTCAAGATTGAGAACGTGCTTGTCTTTACGCCGGACTTCACACGCGTCAAGCTGTGCGATTTTGGGGCGACGACCAAGAAGGGTCTGCTCGTGCACAAGGTGAAGCATACGTGGACGAGCTGTGTGCCACCCGAGCAGTTGGAGCTGATCAAGAATGAGCGCTTCCAATGCTTGTCCATCAGCGATTCCTGGCAGTTTGGCATCTTGCTGTACAACATTCTGACGGGTAATCCGCCTTGGTTATCCGCCGATTGGGTCAAGGATCCGGCGTATGCCAACTTCATGAAATACGAACAACGCAAGACGACCAAGGTGCCGGAAAACTTTCGACGTTTCTCGCCGCGCTTGATGCGCTGCTTTCGCAAGTATTTGACGCACGATACAGAGGAACGTTGCAAGATCACCGAGGTGACCAAATACATGAAGGATCGTTGGGTCGAGTGCCGCATTTCGGCCTCGAAATCGGCAACGCTGATCTCGCCGACACCACACGATCAGGACTCGTGCATCTATCTGAATCAGCGAGAGGGACGTCTGTCCGGAGACGAGAACAAATTGCGCTTCAAGCGCATGATGTCCAGCTATGGTCTGGACATACCCATTGATCAGACCATGGTGCGAAGGCGCGTCTGGGATTGGCTATCCACATGCGATGCTAGCTTCGATCCAGAAGTTGAAAGCTTGCATGCATTGGATATGTAGTAAGCTGCGATATGTCTAAGAGAATTTTGTCAGATCTATGATCTACGAGATCTGTAGGATCTATGATCTATGGCATCGCTGATCCATTAGATGGCTGACCTCTAAGGTCTCTGGTCTAACGGATCTATGATGCTGAGAAGTCGCTCTTCTCCAACCCAAAAAAATTTGTTATTTGGTTCCAATGGACCAAAATTGATTATATATAACATATATATATATAAATCTTGTAATACTATAGACGAATTTTGCTATGCATATGATATAACTACAGAATTAGTAGACATTTGTACCAAATAAGCCCCAAGGGGTATAAATATATATATATAGATGTATCTAGTAAATACTTTGTATATCCAATAGGAGCAAAACACGTCAACGGATATTCTTTCCACTAGTGTTACCTTTCTAGTCTTCCGCTACGATGGTTTATATTTAAACATGTATAAACATTTATATATATATATATGAATCTCTCTCTATATGTAGTTTTATATGTGTGATGTACGCGTTATTTACTTTATACGTCATATACGATACCAACTAATGCAATTATCTAGAATTTAATATTCACTTAAGAGCAGAAACTAATTATATTATATATATCTATATACTATATATGACCAATTATTAGCTAAGTGTTGTCTTATCTATGTGTAATTCGATTATATCTAAACCCTATACGATTATATATTATGTTTATTCTAGTCTTTATCTTGTATCTTTATCTATATCTATGTGTACGATCTTGTATATAATCTTACTATATATACACATATTTATGAGTACTATACTATATACCATATGCTATACTACTTTTGTATGAGTTAATGTACACGGAATGAATGCAAAAACAAATATATGAATATTTAGAGAAACATCAACTGAGTTAACTTCTTTTAATTAATTTTATTTTAAATACTTTTACTCCTTTGATTTAGTTAAATTGATTGAATATCTATAGTTTTTTACACAATTCTTTTTTTCAGTTGATAAATCTTGTACTTAGATCTAAGGGTATCATGAAAAAAAAAATGTGTAAGTATATAATTTTGATATTTCTATTTTTCTATTTTTATATATTTAAAAAGTGCCCAATATACAGTTATTTGTTTACGCAAATCCCGTTGAATGCATGAATTCAGTCTATATTGATTTTCTTTAAATATGAGTAAGAGGCGGACCCCATGGAGTATATATATATTCTTGATCGATATGTATATTCCTGTATAATAAAATGCAGTTAAAAAACAATTTTTTGTTTCATAATTCATGTTATTCATACATAATAATATATTACTTATTAGTTTGAATAACATAAAAGCTAAATAGTTTAAATTGTTGTCACTATCATGCACAGAAAAGTTGATGACAAAAGTCCAACTGCAACAAAAGTTATGCAACAATTGGTTTACCATAGTCAAGTCCATGCAACCCCATGTTTAGGGTTCAGGGTATCTGCTAGACACTCACTCCCGACTAGAGCACTCTGAGTACTTTTTAGAGATTTCTAAATAACGTGAAAAATGTAGCAAAATCTCAACTGAAACTTTAAGCTGTTTATGTACCTCAAAAGCCTCAACTGATAAGCATAGACAATTTATATTTATATATTTATATAGTATAGTATGTGTATTATATATATATAGTATAATGGCTGCCCACGATATTAGTCGTAAAAGCGAAATTTTTCTAAACATTTTCACAACCATCATAAAAATTTTGCGCAAAAACAAATTTGCTTTGTTGTTAAATGTGGCACATTGTTTAGCGCAAATTACGACGCAACAACAACAACAACAACAACAACAATAACAACAATAGAAACTAACAATAGCACTTGCTGTTGCTATCGGCTCTGCTTCTTCTTCTTCTTTTTCGTTTGCAGCTGCTCGCCCACCTTCCTCCCACAGCTGTTACACCTGTTGGCCACCTCCGCTTTGCAATTTAGCTGGCTGGCATTGACTTTACCTTTCTCTTCCCGTTCGTTCTTGTAATTCAATTTTCATTTAAATCAAATAAAGTGCTTGCCCGTTGATTGATTGATTGGTTGATTGATTGATTGGGTCTGCCTGATTGACTAGCTGAACGTTCATTTACCTGTAATTAAATTTGAGTACAGCGTGTGCCACGTGCTTTGTTTTTCTTTTTGTGTTCTCTTGTTTATTTTCTTATGCAAACAAAAGGTTGCTAGCAAATTTGATAATACACCAAGACACCCTGTATATGTGGCATAAAGGCTAGTTGGCTTCTGTTAGCCCAAGCCTAGTTGGATGGAAAGTTAAGTCACAGTTTTATTTTTGTTTAATTAAAAATAAATAAAATGATCAAACAAAAAATCTTGTACTTAGATCTAAGGGTATCATGAAAAAAAAAATGTGTAAGTATATAATTTTGATATTTCTATTTTTCTATTTTTATATATTTAAAAAGTGCCCAATATACAGTTATTTGTTTACGCAAATCCCGTTGAATGCATGAATTCAGTCTATATTGATTTTCTTTAAATATGAGTAAGAGGCGGACCCCATGGAGTATATATATATTCTTGATCGATATGTATATTCCTGTATAATAAAATGCAGTTAAAAAACAATTTTTTGTTTCATAATTCATGTTATTCATACATAATAATATATTACTTATTAGTTTGAATAACATAAAAGCTAAATAGTTTAAATTGTTGTCACTATCATGCACAGAAAAGTTGATGACAAAAGTCCAACTGCAACAAAAGTTATGCAACAATTGGTTTACCATAGTCAAGTCCATGCAACCCCATGTTTAGGGTTCAGGGTATCTGCTAGACACTCACTCCCGACTAGAGCACTCTGAGTACTTTTTAGAGATTTCTAAATAACGTGAAAAATGTAGCAAAATCTCAACTGAAACTTTAAGCTGTTTATGTACCTCAAAAGCCTCAACTGATAAGCATAGACAATTTATATTTATATATTTATATAGTATAGTATGTGTATTATATATATATAGTATAATGGCTGCCCACGATATTAGTCGTAAAAGCGAAATTTTTCTAAACATTTTCACAACCATCATAAAAATTTTGCGCAAAAACAAATTTGCTTTGTTGTTAAATGTGGCACATTGTTTAGCGCAAATTACGACGCAACAACAACAACAACAACAACAACAATAACAACAATAGAAACTAACAATAAATATTTATTATTTGACGCATTAAAAACCAAGAAAAAAAATCAAATTTTAATTTTGACTAAAATTTTTAATTATTCAATGTTTAGAATAGATTTTCGTATAGATTTTTGCCAATAGTTTTTTTTTTTTGCTGCTTTTCGAAGGTTGACCAGAGGCTAATGTCAGCGGTGGTCAGGGCTTTTAGTTTGTGTGGCCAAAACAATGGAATATTTATGAATGGCTGTTTTTGTGCTCATTGTTGTTGTTGCACTAATTGTTACTGCTGCTGCTGCTGCTGCTGCTGCTGTTGTTGCTTTGTCTCAGCTTTTGTTTGGGGCATGAACAGGATGTGACGCAGTCGTAAATCTGTCCCTAATAAACAGCAGCTGCGAAGGTTGATTAAACAAAAAGTTGAACTTGCTGTTGCTATCGGCTCTGCTTCTTCTTCTTCTTTTTCGTTTGCAGCTGCTCGCCCACCTTCCTCCCACAGCTGTTACACCTGTTGGCCACCTCCGCTTTGCAATTTAGCTGGCTGGCATTGACTTTACCTTTCTCTTCCCGTTCGTTCTTGTAATTCAATTTTCATTTAAATCAAATAAAGTGCTTGCCCGTTGATTGATTGATTGGTTGATTGATTGATTGGGTCTGCCTGATTGACTAGCTGAACGTTCATTTACCTGTAATTAAATTTGAGTACAGCGTGTGCCACGTGCTTTGTTTTTCTTTTTGTGTTCTCTTGTTTATTTTCTTATGCAAACAAAAGGTTGCTAGCAAATTTGATAATACACCAAGACACCCTGTATATGTGGCATAAAGGCTAGTTGGCTTCTGTTAGCCCAAGCCTAGTTGGATGGAAAGTTAAGTCACAGTTTTATTTTTGTTTAATTAAAAATAAATAAAATGATCAAACAAAAAATTCATAAAACTTCTATTTTTTAAATTAAATTTATTTATAATATAATTTATAAATTTATATTTCATAAATGTTTGGGTCAATACGCTCAAATATTTTTTGTTTTTATTTATTTATTTTGTTTTTATAGTTTTTTAATATTTTGCTTATTTTTTGTTTGTTTTAAATTGTTTACTATTTTTTTATTAAATTTTTAATATTAATTTTTTATTCTTTATATTTTTGTTTCTTTTATTTTTTTATTATATATTTTTTTGAATTGATTTTATTTTGTTGTAAAGTTTTTTATAAATTAAAAAATTAATTTTTAAAGTTTTTTTTAAATAATTTATGAGAGTTTTCTCTAAGTTTATCTGAACATCTTGCGCACCAACTGTGAATCCAATGTCTCACCTGTCATACTGCTGCCCAGCATATTATTACTTTTACTGTTTACAGGGTATAGATACTCAAGAGTAGACATATTTTATGAGTTTTGGATTTTTTCGCTTTATACCTCGACGCGCATGTTAACACTTAAACGGATTTTTATGGATTTTCGAGTCTATGTGAAAAGTCAACTGAAATAAATTAAATAAAGAAAAATAACAAAAAAAAAAAAAATAGAAAACATATAGATAGGATCTGCTTATTTGCCCTGATACGTGCCAGCAGAGTTTTCGGGATCAAGTTGAAAGTCATTAGGTTTTGTTTGCTTGATCGGCAATTGCTCGATAAGCACTAAAACGATCCCATTTAATTAGTTTTTATTGGTGTAAAACTGTCCAAAATACAAAACATGTTGTGCCGCGCGCATAAATTAAAGCAAAGCGCACAAAAATAGGTTTTTACGATGCCCGCCAAGGCGTCAACTTTTTTGCTTATTTGCCACGACCCGCCCCGCCTCCACAGCAAATGCGAATTTTCACGACTTGTTGTTGCTGTCCCGTAATTTATGAGCCGCATTTGCCATTTCGTATTCCGTTGGAACTTATTTGGACTCGCTGATGCGAGTCTCTTTCATATGCGACATTCACTGAGAGTCGACCCTCAAAAGTATGCAACAGTTTTTTGAAGGCACTTTGAAGCGCATGAAAATTGAAGCAAAAGTTCTTTGAGTTGTTAATTTTCATATGCATTGCATATTTATGAACTATAGTATGGAAGCTTTTTAAATTTTAATATTTTTGAATATATGTAGGTATATATATAACAATATATATAGCAAATCTTGAAGATAAATTGTGATATTTACAGTTCTTTGTCTCGGTTGACGTTGCTGGCTATTGATGACCAAATCCTTGGTGTTTTGCGATTCTAACAGTATTAATTTTATGCCAAAAACAAACACTTTGCTAATATTAAATGCATTGAAGCTCACCAACCTAATTGGGACTCTGCAGCAGAATTTATTGCAATCACATTTGAATTCCTTTTTTCGCCTATAACTTTTTTCATATTTACTTTTGGCAATTTATGTTAAGATAGCTGTGACACCTTCCTGCAGTTGATTACTCTACGATTATTGCAAGCATTCAGCTGGGTTCATAATAATAGTAGTACATTTAACCTGATTGCTGATATCAATTCTTTATCATATGGAAATATTATATTTTATATTTTATAAATATAGAAATATATATTAAATATATTTTATAAATACTGAATCTGCACAGATATTTCTTGAACAATTTTGTGTATTAATATGCAATGTTAATTTTATTATTGATTACCGATTTCTTTAAGAATTGATTTATAAATATTTAGCTTGACTTAAGAACTTTTCTCTTTAGATATTTTAGACCTGCACTTTGCCTTCCTATACCTCTGAAGAATTATTTCTTTTGCGGATTTTTTCAAACATTTTTCGCTTGTCTATTTTACCAGATGCTTTTTAAATAAATAAACAATATACTTACCTCTTCAAAAAACTAGTATAAATCATTTTTTTGATTGTTTTCAAAAATTTCGCATATCCATAATTTTAGAAGCAATTGAAATAATTGCTACTTTGATTCATATATTGCAGCTGGCATGGAAAGTATTTGCCCTAAAAATATAAATACATTTATATATGTATATATATATCTAGATATATCGAAACACGTTTGCTCGAAAAATGCATTAATTATTTAATCTGTTTATTGAATGCTATTAGATGCCATGAGTCTGCTCTACGTCTATGGTTTGTGTCTTGGCTGAATGTTGAAAAAATATTTAAACGATGCGAATTGTTTACTAGCTAAAACAAATATGTCGTGCGTGTGCGTCTGGGTGTAAATAAAGTCGCTAAAATTTACAGATAATGTATAAAAAATGTCTATATAGAATATGAGTTATTTATGCGCAAAAGAGTCGCAGAAGAGTCGACGGCCCAAGTAGATCAGGAAGAACCACATTCAGTCCATATACAATTTCTCAGGCACTCAGACCGATTTCAATGGTATACGTTGTTTGATTACCTAGGGAGAAAGAGATAGAGAGAAATAAAGAGAGATAGATAAACATTTGTAATTCAATTTCTTTACGTTTTTCTGCTAATGTTTACAATTAAATACTAATAAAGGCGAAAAATCAATTAAGACGCGTGTGAAATACGTCAGAGTTGTTGCTAAATTTGGACGAGCGTTTAGCTGTGTGTGTTTTTTTTTTGTTTTCTATCTATCGATCGATCGATCGATCGATCGTTTATTTCGGTCTATTTATAGGCGGGGGCGTGAGCTGAATCATTGGGTCAAAACAGTAAGCGCAGGAAATGCGTTTTCCGCGTAAAGCAAACATAATAAAGAGAAACACGCAAATCTAAAATAAATGAAATTAAGGGAAGAAATAACAATTTGATGAAATTATTGTAATTAACTGACGCACAGTGAATACTCTTTTATGAAGTATTCACGAGTTAAGTTGGAAATTGGGCTTAGTTATAAACACGATTTAATCAAGATTCTGATTAAGTTTTAACTGAGATATGGCAGTTGTTCGAAGCTTATGCTGTGAATTTTACCTTAGCTTATGTATTTGAGTTGTTTTCTTATCAATCAAGCATCGGAAATTTGGATACCTTTCGTCGGAAAACCTCTTAACATCTTTTTTGTCAAGAAATTGTCGTTAGTAAAGAGCGACTTGCCTTAACAGTGGCATAGAGGAAGGCTGAGCGGGTAAGGAAGTAGCGCAGCTGCTTAGCATATTCTAGAGATAATATCTAGATATCAACAGAACAGTATTTGGAGTAGTCTCAGATATTTAAATAGAGTTTCTTTTTAAGCACTTGTGTGGGAATATTGATGATGATTTGAAAAATCTAGCGTGATAAAGATAGATTGAATTCAGATTTAAGTCAAAAATAATGTTAAAAGAAGAGTCTTGCTTCTTAACTGCTGAGTTATATGTGTTATAGATATATGAGATATATTATTGCTGGCAGCGAGGCAGATCGATAGACTGCAGAAGAAACAGACTAAGAGATGGGCAGGCAGAGTTCTTGAGAATTCCTCTTGCTATCTGGAAATTCTTCTTAAAAACCTACCTTACGCTCTACTGCCCTTAACGCATAACAGACAGTCGAGCACGCATTGGTTAGGGCATCAGGAGAATCAATAAAATTGTTGATTAACTTACCTCAGAGCACATGGTCTTGTAGATCTCATCGGTGTCCCAGGGCCCACGCTCTGGCAATGCGATGCCACGCCTACGCAGCTCCTGAACACAGTCCGTCAAATCGAAAATGGGCAACGGATCGATGCTGGCCTTGGCCACCTTGCCAGCCAAATACTCGACGTAATGTGTGCTATTCGATAGGTGGGCAAAAGCAATTAGCCAACGTACTCTAGAGGTCGCTACTTATAGGGAATGACTTTTCAGAGTTCGATTAACTTACCGACACATGCCCGCATGCTTGTCCGGCACCTCGCTATTGCACACGGTGTCCACCAGACCCTGTGGCGTCTCCTTTTGCAGTGGTATGGGACAGCGCGCCTGGGCACGTGCCTTGCTCGAGCTGCTGGGCTCATTGTCCAGCTCTACTGGCTCCGTGTCGAACTTCACTTTGTGCTCCTTGAGCAGAAACTGCAGCTGCATCGGTATCTTGTCCCGCAGATAGAACAGACAATTGCGGGGATGATGCGCGTGCAGGCCCAGCTTGGCACAGTATGGCGATATGGTGCACTTGGCGCCCATCATAAAGGGTCGAGCGCAGCCGTAGCAGAACTCGAACTTACACTGAGTGCAGGTGAAGTGCATGCAGCCGCCCCTGAAAGCAAAAGGTTTTATGAGTCAGGGATATATTCCCTCTAATAATGCCCCCTCTCACCTGGCCAGCGAGTAGCGAAATTTGCACTTGGGACAATCGATGCCATTCTGGGCTAAATGCTCCTGCACCCCCTGTGCCTGCAGCTCCGGATCGTTTTCTCGCTTCCATTCGAGATACGCCTCGCAGCTGGTGCCCTCGTGCTGTCGCTCCCAGGGCTTGCGGCATTGGGCGCAGGTCACCGAACCACAGTCGGGGCATATCAAGCGCTTCTGCTTGGGCCGGGCAAAGAAGCCCGACGAGCATTGTATGCACCACTTGAAGTTGGGGTCCTGGAGTAGGGTGCGATCACGCAGCTTGCGCTGGAACAGCTCGTGCACATCGTTGTCCAAAATGCTCTTCAGAAATATGTCCAAATTGGAGAAGTATTCCAAGTGCTCATCCTCATGCTGCAGCTCGTTGCTCAGCTCGGGCAGCTTGCAGTACGGGCAGCTGCAGTCGTTGATGCTGCGATCGGTAATCTGTAGGGCAGAAGAAAGTGTAGAAATGCTGCTGAACTCAAGTAGCTTTCAAGGCGGAAAAGCAGTAATCTGTCGATAGGAAGTCGGGCGATGAGGCAGGGTAAAGGTAACTTAGTGAGTGAAGCGACTGAGGGAAAAGCCAAGCTTAAGTCGAGTTGAGGTTGGAAGGAAACTATTGGAAAGCATCGATCGGAAAACTGGGGTAAACAGGAAGGTAGGATCGTTTGACTGTCGATGGGTGATAGAAAGGAAAAAGTGTAAAAGGATCGATTGGCAGTAAGTCTGCAAGAAATATGAAGAGAGAGAAAGTAAAGGTAACTAACTGAGTGAATCGACTGAGGAAAAAGCCAAGCTTAAGTCAAGTTGAGATTGGAAGAGAACTATCAAACGGCAAATTGGGGTAGACAGGAAGGTAGGATCGTTCAAAGGCAGATGTGTGATAGAAAGGAAAAAGTGTAAAAGGATCGATTGGCAGTAAGCAGAAAGTAACTTCTGAGGTCTTTCTGCAGGAAATCCGAAGTAAAAGATGCATGGAAGACTGAAGTAAAAGATTTAAGAATACTCGATTGGCAGCATGTCGGAGATAGCAATACTTAAGAAGGATTATTCAACAGGAAGTAAAGGACAAACAGTAAAGCAGAAGCTGGTAAAAGATCGCATCAAAGGAGCAATATCGAAAACAGATTTCGGTCAGTAGAAGGCAGCAGATATAAAGGAGAAAAAGGCAAGGCAACGAGTTAGTTTGATAAGACACTTCTGCAGTCAACCCACCTGCACGGTGAAATAGCTCTTAGCGCACTGCTTGCAGCACTTGTGTGTGCACTTGAGCATGGACACAATCTGATTCATGGGATAGTTGTTCATGCACAGCTCGCACTCCTGCTGCAACATGGATATGGCTTGATCGAGATCGGAGCACTCCCGGGCGGCCCACAAGGCAACGTCCTCCTGGAACTTCATGTTGACCAATGTGGCGGCAATTTGTGCTTCCGCAATGCTTGTCACCAGCTGCTGCTCCACGAACTTGCGTGCCAGCACCTGCAATTAGGAGAGATTCAAACCAATTGTATGCTGAGCTACTCTCTAGGGTCTACACACCGCCGGCTCCTCAATGACTGCTTCCTGGACACTGGGGTAGGCGCGAAAGACTGGTATGCTGAGCTTACGCTGCAGCAGCTCTGCCTTAATTGAGGCCGGCAGCTGCTCCTGCTCGTCCTCCTCGGTTGCCGAGGTATCGTAATCGTCGTCCGAGAAGCAGGTCTCGTGATACTTCTTCTTGGGTATACGCGGCTGACTGCGCGGCTTGAGCAGGGCATTTACCGCAGCACTGCTGCTGGGTGTTTCGTTCAAGTTGGTTTTCGTATTGAACTTATTGATGGCATCGCTCAAGGACTTCTTGTTGCTGGGGCTACTCTTGAGCGGCACACGACTGTTGCTGGTTGCATTCGATTGAGTTTGCTTCTGCAGGAACTCCTGCTGTATGCGCTTCACGGAGGAGATGCCCATGGGCGCCGAAAAGGACTTGGAACGCAATGGCAACTTCTTGATGTTGGTTCTTGCTGTTGTTGTTGTTGTTGTTGTTGTTGTTGTTGTGTTATTTGTTGCTGTGTTGTTATCACTTGTTGCTAGCTTAGGTATTTTGCTGGCTTTGGGTGTGCTGCCTGCTTTGGCTGTGTTTTGTGGCTCAGTTTTGGTTGTCTTTGTGGGGTTTACCTTTTTGGGCTCTTCCAATACTGTTTCGCTTGGCAGTTCCACTGGACGGGTTTCGGAGTCGACAATGGGTGGATCGGGCATGAGGGGCAAAGCAATTGGTTCCGTTGCCACAGCTGGTGTAGGCTCCGCCTCTAATACAATCTCCGCAGGCAGCTCGGCTGGTCTACTTTCGGTTAGAGGTATGAGTGGAGCTGCTGGAGCAATTGACTCCACAACTTCGTTCACAGCATCTTCAGCCTTCGCTGCAGCAGCAGCTGCAGTTGTTGGCTCAACGGCGGCGCTGGCTGCAAAGGAAACGGTTTCAGTTGCCTCATTTTCATGATTTGTGGGCGTGACTGATGAGGTGCTCGTGACTGTTTCTTGTATGTCAGCTCTCTGCTCTCCCATTATCTCAGCTTCAGCTTCAAACTCATCCTCCTCCATAATGTCTTCGATCTCAGTGGCTTCTTCGTCGAGCAGGCCAGCGGCACCACTCGAAGCCTCCTCAATAAGCGAGGCTTGCTCGTTGTAGGTGCCCTCTTCTTCCTCGCCCTCGCTGTCATACCAGCCTTCCTCTTCGCCCTCATCGTACTCATCGGAATAGTCCTCGGAGTAGTCGTCTTCATCAGTGGACTCAAACTCATCCATGCTGATCTCATCGCGCATTTGCTTGATCAGACGTTGGGTGTCCTCGACGAGCTCACTCAGATTCTGCTTGGCTGGGTCGCCCGACGGTATGAACTCCTTAAAGACCACTGGCTCCACCTCATCACTTGAGTGCGAACTGATTGTTGTATTGCTGGCCGACTGAACTAGATTCGAGCTGCCGATTGCTTGCTCTGGGCTCAGTACGAGCAACACCTCAGCACTGTCTGGCGACTTAGCTGGATGCTCTTCACTGTCCAGACTGTAGAGCTCTGTGTCGGAGGGAGAGTCGTCAGGTTGGCGTTGCTCCTCGCTGCTGAACTCTGCTGCATCTTCGAAAACTTCCTCTGACACCTCCTCGCTGGGCGTAACTACAACGGCTACCGCAGCCTGTTCAGCTGTTGGCAGCTCTTGCTCCACATTTGGTGTCGCCTCGGAGCTTGCTTCAGTTGCCACTTCAGCCTCAACTGGCGTATCAGTTCTGCTTTCCCTGTGCAGGCTACTTGTGCTCAGCGTTCTCACGGGTATTTTGGAGAAACGCTTCGCACTGCGCTTCTGGTTGCTTGTCACAGCAATCGTTGGGATCAGCTGCACAGTTGTGGCTGCGGGCGGCTCAGTTGGAGCAGGTTCATCCGAGGCCGCTGGAATTGACTCTTCATTGAGCTGAACTGACAGTTGGAGCTCTTCAGGCTGTGCGCTAGCCTGATTGGGCATAATTTGTCTCTCTGCAGTTGTCTCGTCTGCAGCTTGAGAAATTTGTGACTCAGCACTCAGCTGCACCTGAGCCAAAGTCTCTGATTGCTCTTCTTCCGGTTTGGTATCAAGTGCTGCAGCTTGTGGTGCAGCTGAGGCTTCTGCTGGTACAATTACTTTGGCTTCTTCTTGATCTTCAGCTGGCCCCTCTACCACTGCCTGGGCCGCGTCCTTGACTTCCTCCGACTCAGCTGCTGTGGCTGCTGTTTCAGCTTGCTTTTCGCTGCCTTTAGCTTCGTCTTCTACTTCAGCTGCAGCCAGTGCAGCTTCTAGCTCTGCCTCATTTATAGCTTTCATTGCAACATGCTGTGCCTGCTCCTTTGCTTCCTTCTGTTGCTCAACTTTCTCTGCATTATTTGGCAAGCGATTTCTGTTTGTTGGCCTTTGACTTTGATCTCTTTGACTTCTGCCTTTCTTCGGCAGTTGGGATCTTCTATTTCTCTTGTAGGCTTCGCGGCTAGTGCTGGGCTTGTCGTCCAGCTTAGCTTGTGTCTCAGCTGCTGTCGCAGTTTCCTTGGCCTCATTTGTGGCTGTCTGCTCTGGTGCAGTCTCGGCTTTAGCAGAGACCGTTGCCTCGGCTGCCTGATTAATAGACTCTTCTATGATAACTTCCTCTGGTTCTTTGACTGCATCGGATTCTTGTTGCATTTGTGTAACTCTAAGTGCTGCTGGCTGTAAGTTCTGAGCCGCTTCTACCTCAGTGACTCCAACTGCAGTCACAGGACTCTCCAGATCTGTTGAACTCTGATTCTTCTCTTCACTAACATGCTCTGGCAATACTTCTTCTGTGACAGCTTCCACTTGAGGTGCTAAAAAGCTTTTGTAGACTATACGCTCGGCATCTTCGAAATCATCCAATTGCCACTGCTGCTCATGCAACCTCTCCGTGGCACGATCGAACTCTAGTTTGAAATTGGCTATTTCTGTAGCATAAAGGAAATTGGGAGGTAACTCCTCGCGCATGGAACTCTCTCTTAAGTTAGGCTTGATGAGTTCTTCCATAATGTAAACTGCCGGATCAGGCGCTGGTGTCGCCTCCTTCTGGGGCACTGTCTCTGTGGGCACAGCTGTGACTGTGGGTTGGGCTACCTCCGTGGGTTCCATGAGCTCTTGCTCCACCTGTTGCACCAAGTTGGGAACAATGTCCTGAATATGTTGCCAGACAAAGTTCTTGACGTCATCACTGGACTTCTCTGGCAGAGCCGAGGGCGATTTGAGTGTGCTAATGGGGCTTTTGGTGAGAATACGCATCACTTCCGGATCTGTTTCGTATTCCAGCTCGGGCTTGCCCTTGAAAGTCTCCAGCATCGTCTCTATCGAGCGCAGAACTTCCTGGTTCTGCTTGGCCTGATTCTGCTCCATATTGCCAATCAGAATCTCTAGATTCTTCAATGTGCCGTCCTCCAGCTGATACGGACTGGGCGTGGCATAGGCAGACTTCGCTGGGCTGGAATTGTCGTCGTATGAATAGGCTAAGGCAGGACTCTCGCTGCTCTGCAGCTGCAGACAGTCCAAAGCGTGAGTGTTCAGAAACTCATGGATATCTGCACGGAGAGATGAAGAGAGAGGGAGGGGGAGAGAGAGGAGTGTGTGTAAGAATGAGCAGAGAGTGGAATTCGATCTACCAACTAACCCGATTGGTTATCTACAGCCGCACTTTCATTCTCCACGCCATTCGGCGAGCCCCAGATGCGCATTAGAAATGGTTTAAGCTGTGTGCGATTCAGTTCGACCAGTGCCTGGTCCACATTACCTTGATGCGCTGTCAGCGCATTCACAATGTCCTCGCTCAGAAAGTTGCCCTTCGCTGCGAGCTTGCGATACTTTTGCTGGCGCTGCTGTATGCAGTCGGCGACCGCCTGCCAAACATTTCCGGCCGAGCTGCGCAGCGCTTCCCTCGCCTCGTTCTGCGAGATGGTGCCGATGGTATTCTCCGCGCGCTCCTGGCCGTACTTTGTGGACAGGCTTTGCACGGTTTGGACCAGCTTGTGCCAGTTCTCGCGCAGCCACTGTATGGGATGTACGTCGGGTCCACAGTACTTAAGAGCTGCTTCCAGCTCCTCCACCGTAAACTTATACAGCTCCAGCTCCTTGAGTATAATATGCATTTCGATTTCGGGATCTCTAGCGGGCTCGTGCCTATGGCCGAGCGACTCGTGCGGCAAGTCAAAGGGCGAAGAGGTTTGCTATTGATCAAATTCAAAATGGAACCTTAGCTAAGCTGCCTCCAACTAGTTAGTTAAACGCTTCGACTTACGTGCTGCAGCACTTTAAGATCATTGATAAAGTTGGGCCTGCGCGTCAGCTGGTTGGACATGCTCTCCGCAGTCCGCAAGTCGTTCGAGTTACGATAGCGTTCGTTCTCCTGCGTCAGCTGTGAGCTGCTGCGATAGTAGGGCTTGCGTTCCATCTTAGCTGGTTCGGGTGTTCGGTAACGTTCCGGCTCGGGCTGCGTCTCTGGCTGCGCGCCGAAGGGCAAAGCGTCGTAGGTCTGCAAGAGTTAGTATGAGGTAGCAGCTAAGCTAGAGTCGGTCGTATATATATTTATATATATATATCATTACTTGTGTCGAGATGCTTTGCGGTGGTGGCGAGGTGCCCATTTCGCGTGCAGCCGTTTGCGTTGGCAGCTCGCGCGGCGGTGTCCCGCCGCAGCCAGTGGAGATTTTCTTGGACTGCTTTAGCACCTGCTCCGCCTGCGCCTGTATGCTCTCATCCAGTGTATTCCATATATTCTCAACGGATTCTGGAAGTGTATGGATGAGAGCTTTAGTACAACAAATACAAAACAAAACTCGGGTAGGTTTTTAGTTTGGGACTTGACTTTGTATTTCGTATATAAAGATTTCTTTCTCTTTTCTTTTTTCATTTTTAAATGCGTTAATTGTAGTCGTAAACAGTTACAGTTGGTTAAATTACAGGGTATACAGTGTTTTAGTCTTGTGTTTATTCTTTTGTGGTTATTAATGAGGTTCAGGCTCAGCTCTTGGTGCCCTCGAAAAATGAGATTTTCTTGAGAATCCTACCTTTGTGTATGAAGCCCGGGCCCAGCGAGTTTTCTGTTTGATTTCCTGTTGTGGTCTTCAGCTTGGACTTGATTGCTGTTGTCGGCTTCTTGCTGGTGGTGCTTGTGGCTGTGGTTGCCTGCTTGGACTTGGCTGTGGCTGTGGCTGTGGCTGCGGCTGCTTGAGCTGGCGCCTTGCTGTTGCCTTGCACAGCCTGCTCCAGTGTTGGCCTTGTCGTGGCTTTCATGGAGCTCTTGCGCACGAGCTTCGACTCCGACTGAACTTTTGTTGGCTTAGGCGCAGCTGTGGCTTCCTTGGGCTTCGCTGGCTGCTTGCAGGGCGTCTTGCAGCAGATGGCACAGATTTTGATGTTTGGCTCGTTCACAAATGTGCAAAACTCGCATTCCCATTCGTGATCGGGTGTCGAGGGCGGCGGGCCCAGATCATCTTCGCCAGCTTCGGGCTCAGCTGCTGCACTGGCTGCCGGTTGCTCCTCTTCGGTCTCCGAAGCTGTCACTTCCTCCACGACTTCCTCGTACTCCGATTCGCTCTGCTCTGTGGGCTTGGCTGGCGCTTCAGGCACTTTCTGCACCACAGCCGCAGCCTGCGTGTTCTCGTCCTTCATTTCGGGCTTGCGCTTCGACTCGGCTCTCTTGACCTTTTGTTGATCTGCCTCTTGGAGCTTCTGCTGTATTTTGGCTTGCACCAAAGCGCGTGCACCCGAACCCTCGGACTCCAGATCCGAGTAGATGCGACTTGTTTTGGGCGCCTCTTGCTGTTGACTTCGCTTCAAGGTTCCGGCGGCACTGGCATTCGAGTCCCGACGCTCGGGCAGCCATTCGCTCTGCACACTCTTCGCTATGGATCCGCGACGATCCCGCATCTTGTGCTGCCTGCCAGCATGTCGCTGCTCGCCATCCAGCTCGTCGTTAGCCCCGTTGCCATTGCTGATGAGCTGCGAGGCACTGGACATGCGTCGCTGGCGCTGATGATGCTGATGAGCTCGCGAGGCGCTCGTCATGCCCGATCTGTTGGAGACCAAGGAGCGACGATCGTCCTGATCCGAGTCCTCATCATCGGTCAGCTCATCGTCAACGTAGCTGCTGCGCTTGCGGCGCATCGACATGGACTTGCGACTGGGCGTGGGCGAGGCAGCATAGCGAGCGCGCGACGTGGCACGCGAGGCAGCTGTGGGTGGCATGCCCATAACACCTGAGATGAAAGCGTTTAATGTTTACTTGAACTGGGTTTCTTTTGCTCTCGGCTCACCTGGATGCATCATGGGATAGCCCGCCGCGCCCGGATACATGTTGGGCATAATGCCGCGTTGTGTCATGAAAACAGGTGGCGGATAGTGCGGATGCTGCTGCATGTGCTGCGGATGCTGTGGCAAATAGCCGGCGCCCACGTTGAGCGACAGATTCGAGTGATTGAACTGCTGCTGCGAACCAAACTGTGACCACTCATCGTGTGGATGCGCATGTCCTGGCCAATTGGGCTGTTGACTCTGGCAGCCAGCGCAGTTGAGGTGCGCCATGGACTGAGCCTGCATGGGGGATTGAGATCATAGAAGGGATCAGTCGGTGTGGAAACTAGTGAAGTTATATGTGGAGGTAAATGACTTTAAGAAGTGAGCCAGTTAAAGTCTTACGAAGAAAGAAAGTAGTTGCTATGAAGGAGGGATCAACGAGTCCAGACTCACCTGTTGCATGCGCTGATTGGCCACCCAGGCTGAGCCCGTGTGCTGATTCTCTGCGAGCGGCCGACGCGGACTCATGCTGTTCAAATTGAAGACGGAAGTGCTCATTTGACGACGCTGAGCGCCCGCTGCCTGTCGTTGTTGTTGTTGTTGTTGGAACAGCAGGGAATTGTGAAAATTGTGTGAATCATCGGATAGATCAAAATGCGATGAGTTCAAACCGGATGACATGCTGCCGGAACGAAAATGCGAGGGCGATGGTGAAATGTTTGACCAATGCTCGAAGTTCAGCTGCTTTTGGTTTAAGATGCACAAAGAACGAGAACGAGAAAGAGACAGACAGAGAGAGAGAGAGAGAGAGAGAGTGTGTGTGTGTGGGGCGAGACAAGGACCAGACACACACGCACAAGACGAGACGATATATCAATGAGGGATAGTTGATGGCTGGGTGGATGTGGCACAGATGTGGCCTTACCTGTTCGGGGTTGCCTGGCTCGTGCTGCGCCTTCTGCTGGCGATAGCGTTGCTGCAACAGGGCCATGCGATCCAGTGTGGCGTTCGCCTTGCTCTTAATCTTCTCCAGCTGCACCGAGGGCGGACGGCTGATTGTGTCGAATACTGATTTGGGCGTGCCCGAGCGAGAGGAGCCGCCGCCCTCACTTGGCGCTGGCCGTGGCGGCTCCGGCAACGGGCGATTATTCATTTGCGGCGCAACTGCTGGGCCCCGCCAGCCACCGGCGGACTTATGCGACGGCGTCGGCGAGGGCGGTGGCAACATCTGCAAAGAAGTTTTTCGTTTTTCGTTTTTCGTTTTTGGTTCTCTTTGTTGTTGGGCAGGCAGCATTAAGGTTTCTTTTTCTGATTTGGTTGTTGTTCTTGTTTTATTGAAGCATTCAAAATCGTTTACAAACTGGTACTAAATAGATAGCTCTAACTACACCGATCTACACCCAAAGCTTGGTCTAGTACAAAGTTTGTTTTCATGTTTTGTTTTTTATTCTTTTATGTTTGGCTTTTTTTTTGTTTGATTTTGGTTTGGTTTTGTTTGGCTTATGAAATCGTGCAGTGTCGTACCTGTTCCTTGCGGCCCAGAAACGGTGTCAACAAACCACGTTTGCTGCGTCGCGGTGGTGCGACCGGCGGTGGCGCTCCTCCAGCACCCGCCTTGGGTGGTATGGGCGGTGTGCCCTGCTCCGCAGCCTGCACAACATCAACACATAATAATTATTCTAATATTACGTAAGGTTGTCGCTTGCAGCTCACCTTGCGTATGTGCTGCCTGCGCTTGGGATGCTTGTGGAACATGTCGTCGCATGAGGCGCAAAAGATTTGGCCAGCGCACTCGGCACAGGTTACCCACGGATTCTGCGATCCACACAGTGTGCATTTCAGTTTGTTCTCTAAATAAAGTTGTTTAGTTTTTAATAAGTTCGGAATTAAATTCGGAGCAAATGTGAAGTAGAATAGGAAGTATGACTCGGAGTAACTATTGGAATAAAATTAGGAGTAAGACATGGCAAACGTTTCGGAGTACATATTCGCGGGCAAATTCGGTGTAAGTCATGAGCAAGTTTTAGGAGTCAATTTCGGAGTACTTGTTTGGAGTAAAATTCGTACTAGTTATGTGTGTAGTATATGAGGAAAGTTTCAGAGTAAAATTCGAAGCACATGTTCGGAGTAAAATTAGGAGTAAATTACAGGCAAAGTTTCGGAGTGAATTTCGAAGAACGTTTTCGGAAAAATATGCAGAGTAAGTAATGGAACAAGTTTCGGAGTAAAATTCGGAGTAGATTCTTGTAGTAAATATTTGAAATTAAATTCAAAATCGAAATTTTTGTGAAATTCGGAATATAAAATTCATTAAAATTAAGATTAAATATTGTAAAGTATTAATATGATTTTAAATAAATTTGAAAGAGGGCGAAAATACTGGTAAAGTAAATATAATGATTCTTCTTCTATTGTATTTTGATACTCCTAATATCTAAAAGTTTCTGTGCAGTCGAAGCATGCCCTTGGAATTTTGTTCTGCATCCGAATCTATCGGATGGGAGCCACTTGCCTGGCGTTTTGGTACGGATCTGTGTAGTTTTCATAGGCTCATTTGAGTACTGTTGCTGATTGGAGAACTCGATGACTTCGTAGTCGGGTTCGGGTGTGTTCTTCGTTTTGGGAGGCAGGGCCGGCACCTTGAGCTGAGCTCCATTCATTGACGCGTTGCCATTCATTGGCGTTGGCGGCGGCTTGGGTCCAATGCGATCATTCGCCTCATTCTAAGTGCAAAATGCTCGAGTCATATTAGTCACAGTAGAGACTCGATAAGAAGAGAAGCTCTTCTCTTCGGCCCATACTCACCACCCAGTCGGGCATTGTGCGTACGTTTCTGTTGAGCAATTGGTGTGTCGTCATCTTCATAGTTGTCGTTAGCTTTGTCGGCTACAGGTTCTTGTCTAGCTTCTGCTTCTTCTTCTCCTTATTTCTATTTTGATCTGCTGTGGGACAGAATTTTTGGTCGTATTATGTAAAAAACAGCATATAGAGAATATATTAAATATTTATGATAATTTAACAAATTTTATAAGATTTAAATGAATTAAAATGTATATATATTTGTGTTTATAGCTTAGATTTATATTTTGTAGACTATATAGCACAAAGGATATTTCTAATAAATATATATTTCTTCAACTTTTTCTAATTTCTTATCTAACTCTACTTTATATATCTTTAAAGTATTCATTTTTTCTTAACAAGATCTCTAAATATACATATATACAGGTCTCTAAATATATCCCCAAGCACTTCAAAGCACTTCATATTCAATTACACAAAAGTACAAAATATATAAATATATTCACGTTTTCCTTTAATATTTTTAGTCTGCTCGGCCAAAACAGTTGAGTTGCAATGCGAATTGCAAACGCCCAAACGTTGCCAGAGTTGTTCCACGAATAAACCATATGTATAAATATAAAATAGGCCAAAAATTTTGTTGCATTCGAAAACAAGTCGCAAATAAGAGCCGATAAGCCGGCTAAGACATACTCTCTACACAGATAACAATGACATTAATGTTAAAAATTCTTAAATATATTTAATAATATTTATAATATTTACTATTCATGTTTCTAATGGAAAATATGCCCATAAATACCCTGTGCAGCTGTAACTCAAGTGAACTCCAAAGAGTGCTGAAAAGTAGGCAACGCTTTTTTGCAAGGACTTGATAGAGTTTTCAAAGAAATATTTAAAATAAATATATAAATTGAAAAATATTTTATATGCAGCTAAGCAATATTCTAAATTTACAGGGTATTTATGCGCGCTGCGTACAGTTTTTGTTTATAAAACGCTGCGAAATAAGCAAAAGGAAATAATTCGTGTGACTCAATTATCGAGCTGACAGCTGGTCTAAGTGGAAATGATTTTGATAGAGAGGTAAAGAGAGCAAGAGCGAAATGTAGGTAAAGAGAGAGATAAAGCGAAAGAGAAAGATAGAGAGAGAGAGACAGAGTAAGTAGAATATGGAAAGAGAGCAAGAGTAAAGCGAAATTTATCAAGATAGAGAGAGGGACAGAGAGAGCTCACAGCTAGATCACAGAGAGCATTCACAGTGAGCGGTTAGCAAATTCATTGACGCCTGCTGCACGACAGATATAGATCATGTTGAAAGTTTAGAAATAGGAAATATACTGCATACGAGTTTCCCGAACGTGTTTTGCTTATATGCAGTCTGCATAGACATATATGCGATAGATATGGGCAGGCAGCATGGGATATTTTAAGAATATTCAAGATAAGTCATATTTGAATATGAATCTGAATATAAATTTATGAATACTTATGTGTTTGATTTGCTTTTTTAAGTATTTTATTTATGAATATTTGAATTATATATTTGCGAATATTTCAGTTTCAAACTATTCTAACTAGGCCTAAGCTTACTTTATTTTAATTTCTTAGTTCCGCACAGAGAAATTGAATTGAATTGAATTTAATTTAGTTAATGTCAGCTTTAAATGTTTTTAATATTTTTTATTTAACTTTCTGCATTTAAATACTTAAACAAATATATATATAGTGTTAAATTGCCGGTCATTTGAATTTCACTGAAAGCTGTTCCTTTAAATTCTCTACTGAATTCATTTGTATTCGCTTTACTTGACTTCTGGAAAATGAATTTCCAAATCGATTTTTAACATTAAATATATACATTTCCATGAATCTTTTACGCTTACAGGTGATTACAATTCCACATAAGTGCTTTAAGCTAGTTCTATGTAATTCTATGAACTCAGCTTTTCTACTATTCATATTCATTAAGGTTATTCATTATTGTATACTCTATATTTTAATTGTTTCATTTTTCAACAGACCATAAGACTTGAAGCAGTTTTATTTTTAACTTTACTCGCTTAAATTGGTATAAGGCAAAGATTTATGAATACATTCTATATTTATATCAATTTGATATTCATTAATATATTTATTTTTATGAATATATATTTTTCTAAATTTAAGTATTTTTTTTATAATTCAGTTTCAATGCATTTGCATCTTTTATTTGTCTTGCATTTTGTATCTTGACCAACGCATTTGCCACCTGCTTCCCCTGCCGCTCGGTTGGTGGCTGCTAGTGGCAGCTGCCCTGGGAGCCAGCTAACACACACAGCGAGAGACGCACACACACTTAGACACACACTTGAACGTGCGCACAAAACTATTTTTAAACACTTCAATTTCTTTGCCCAAAAAAAAAAGATTTTTTTCGTTTATTTTTGCACAATTTGATTTAAACTTTTTTTGCTTGGTTTTTTTCTGTTTGAATTAAAGATAAAATAGGAAAATTCAATTCGCTTGCATAAATTGTTATTATTTGTTGAAAATCTTGAAATGTTTTGAACTTTTAGCCAAAGAGTTTATCGATTCCGTTTGAGTTTAAATTTAGTTGTGTTTATTTATAGCACGCACTTTTTTGTCTGCTTCTTCTTCCTCTTTTATTTTTTAAATATATATATTCTACATATATATATGTATATATCTTGGGTTTATTAGCTATATTTATTGTTGAACTTTTGATTTGTTGTTTTTTTTCATTCTTTTTGGGCTCATTTCACTTACATAATACGAATTTACTTGCCACGTCGCGCCGCACTCAAAAAATTTTGCTAGATGTTAGCCTTATATATATATTATATATATATACATATATATAAATATATATATATATACTATATATATATATAGTACTATGTGTATCCGCTCGACATGAAATAGTATTTTTATATATATCTTTTTTTTTGCTACGGTCTCGTTCGGCGATCGTCTCCCAACAAACTGATTTGTCTATTCGCTATCTAAACAAGATTTTCCCCAGTTTTCAGAGACGTTGTCGCCGCAATAATTTTCTTACTCAATGTGTCTCCATCATCTGTGTCTTTGTCTTCTCTTTATTTTATAAATACTACGCAGCATACGTATAGCATTTGGACTCGCTTATCTCCCGCCTGTGTTCACCGTTTCTGAGTAAATTTTGTCTCATTTTCCATTTTCCCTTCTGTTGTTCAACATTGTGTTGGCTGCATTTTCTTTTGCATCAAAATTAGATAATTTATGGATTCAAATTGTTTTTATTTTGGGCCTGAATTGCTTCCTTTATTTTGTGTGAAATTTCTGTAATTTCAATTGTACATGTAATATGTATTATAAATATATAATTATTAATTAATAATTAGATTATAAGATTAATCCCTAATGTACTAATTTTCTGATGGGGATTAGTTTTTAAGGCACAAAATAGATTTTCAGGAATAAATTATGTTATCGGCGTTTGTTGATTTAATTTTTTAACAAATTTTCCCATAATAAATATATCTTCTCCCTAATAAAAACCGATTAGCTTAAATATGAATTATAGGTAAACTTAATTGATAAACAAATAAAAAATAAATATGAACCCCTAGGGCCTGGCCTGACCTTGACTTCGCTTTTGCTTATGTTTTATATTTTTTATATTGTTCGTTTTTATTACTTAGAAATTGAGGGAAGAGCGCAACAAGTTGAAAATTTAAGGAATTTTCTTTGCTATAAATAATATTGTAGCACGCTTCTAAGGCGCCACCTGCCGGCAGAGCGAACACAAATCAAAAATAAAGAAAACAACAACACCACACGCAATTAACCGTTGTTTGTGTGTACAAATAACATTTATTTATAAAATTACGAAAAGCAATTGCTACTGCGAATTATGTTCATTATTATTAGCGGCTCGCGACAGGATCTTAATTTGAGTGGGCGCAACATGTGGTATGCGTAATGTCAATCAAATATAGATGCATTCACAGAAATTAATAATGTTCACATATATATATTAAGTGTGTGTGAGAGCGGTAATAAGTGCAAATTGAGCTAACAGTAATTGACATGCAAAACGGATTTACCACAGAGCTCAAGTCGAAGGCGAAGCAGAAGCAGACAAAGGCCGAAGCCCAATAATTGCAAGCACGCATTTTTTGATAAGTCTGCACTCTTCACTCCTACAAACGCCTTGGCCTCTGCCTGTGTCAGCGTCTCTGCCTACGCCTCTGCCTGCGCCTCTGACCGTACCTCTAGCTTTGCCTTTGCCTTTGCTTCTGCTTCTCTCTCTCTCTCTCTCTCTCTCTCTCCATCTGCCTGTGGTGGCAGCGACCACCTTCATCACCATCACATTGACTTGGACTCGACCTTGCCCGCTGCTGGTGTCGGCGCTTTGCGTCGACGCTGACTGCGTCTTTAAATCGATGCTCGGTAGAACGTTTTACAGCTGTTTTTGGCAGCCGAGCCAGACATCGTGTGTGCTGCGTTCGGCTTGTCGCAGCTGTTCGTAAACAAACAAAATGCCGGCTGTTGTTAGTGTTGTTGTCGTTGTTGGCCGCGTGAAAGCTTTATGGAAGCTTTTTAGAAATGTTTATCTCGCATGCGAGAAATGTCGCTATTCACACGCGGATATTCTTAAAGCGAAAAACCAATTTTTCGGCTGCATTTGCGCAGCGCGCGTTGCAGGAAAAGCAAGTGAAACGCGTGTGGCGAACTTAACGATTTTCACGGCACCCTAGAACAACGCACGCTCCCCTACCACTGAGCAAATAGAAAAAGGAGAAAAAACAGTTAAATGTTCGCTTTAGTGTAATATTAAAGTAGTTAAAGATATATGTGTGTATGTATTTATATGTATACATATGAATATATACGTATATGCTTATAAGTGTGAGTGTTGTAATTGAAATTGTGCCTTTAATCGTGTCCCGTGCGCATAATTTCATTTGCGTAATGCTCATAGACAATAACAAATTCAATTTAATATACTAAGTGAGTTTCTATAGAGTAAAACACATAGGTGTAAATGAAACGGAAAATGGGATGGGAAATGAAAATGAATATGCCGTGGGAAATAATTATTTAAGTAGTTTATATATGAATATAAAATAAATAAAAATGCCTTCAGAAAAAGATAATAAAAATAATTATTTTTAAAATAAAATAATAATTGTTATAAATAATTGAAATATTTTTATAAATAATTAAAATATTCACACATGTCTTAAGTGATTACAAAATAGTAATTAAAAAACAAATTTTTTAATTAGATTTCTAAAAAAAATAAAATAATTAAATAAAAAATTAAAAAAGGTAAGAATTTGAAAATTAAACTTAATGAAATATATAATTAATAATATATTCAAAATAGTAAAATTTATAGTAAATAGGATAAAAATAATTTTAATATATTTAAAATAAAATTGAAAAGCTTTAAGAAATACATAAATCAGGAAAATAACTGGAAATAATTTAAAATAATAATAATAAAAGTAATAATAAAGTTAATTATCTGCGTATATATACAAAATAAATATAAAATATACAAAATAAATCTGCAATTAAAAGAAAAGAGAAAACTTGCAATACATGACAAAGGAGATAAAGCATTTAATTTTTAAAAAATCTTTAAATGCCCAACAGCTGCAGAGATGTAACTAAAACCAACTGCAAAGATTATTTCCTGTCGCAGCAAGATTAAAAAATAAAAAACTTGACAAAACACAGCAAAGCTGAAGCAGAAGATGAAGACGAAGAAGAGCTGCTGCTTAGGGCTATGTCGAGACGAATTGCTTTGTGCTATATACGAAAAATCGATACTTGAAGCCGCAGTCGCAGTCTCAGTCGCCGTCGCAGTCGACGTCAACGTCAGCGGTCAGCGTCAAACGAGACGCAAAACGCTTTTTAAATGACGGCTAAAAATAGACTAAATAACAACAAGAACAACAACTATTAGAGAGAACAACTAGCTAAACGTGACAACAATGGTCGATGCTAAGCCACCGCCCACTCGCACGCCCACACCGGGCACACCGCCGGCTGCATTTGCCGGTGAAAGATCGAAAATTAAATTATTTATGGAACGGACGCCGAGCATCGGGGCACTGAAGTCTAAATTTTTGACAGTGTTGGGCAACAGCAACGAGCTGCTCAATGGCATTTCAAATAAGGTAAGGCCTTGATAATGAAAGCGCTCCCATGCTGTCTATGTGGGTGGCAGCTATACAAAAAAAAAATCAAAACAAAAACAATATCAACAGACATTTTGATAGGTTTTTGTTTTTGCTGCTGCATTCGTTTGACCTTCACTTGGCCCGGATATTATTGTTGGGGTAGCTGCTGTGCTGCTGCAGTAGCAGCAGTACCAGCTGCAGTTTGGGGGTTGGCCTCAGCTGTTTTCAGTGTACTTGACTCTATACTGACAGCGCTGCGCAGCATTGGCTGCTCTGTCGCTTTGAAATTAATTAAATTGCGTGCTCGACGCTTCAGCATAAACGAGTTAAAAGTAAATGGCACAGTTGTTGCTATCTCCTTTTCGTTGCTGAGCTGTTAATTACGGATTATGTCGCTCGGTCGTTTGCTATGTATCTCTATCTCTTTCACACCACACATACCTTGTTGCTGGTGCTGCAGCGGCAAGTGCCAAAAGCAATCAATTTAGTCGACTTCCTTGAGACTTGCCAACTACATTCGCTCATCCAAGGCCAAAGGGATAACTGCATACATTTTACTTTTGTTTAAAACGCTGTCTAAGTCTGATTGATTGCTTTTTGTATTTGTGCACTTCTCACTTGTGTAAGTGTTGTCTCTGTAATTTAACGCATTTCGGTAATTGTTTGTATTGTTTACAACCAATAAGCGTTAAGCAAGGGGGAGCGCAGGGCTGGGCACTTGCAACCTAAATGAAAAAAAGAGAAAATTGGTGGCCTAAAATTTGTACTTATAATTTGTTTATTATTTTAGTTAAGTACTAGCTATATTTTAATTATGTATATTTTTTTATTACCTTGATTTTTATTATCAATTGGCAATAACAAATTTCTTATAGGGTGGCAACTTTATTTACTAAATGCGGCCATTTTCCCCATTTACAGTTAACTTTGAGCAGCAGCAGCAGCGATTCAGACTATTGCGATGATGAAGAGGACTTGCCCAAATGTAAGTTTAGCAAATGTTCGAAAAGTGTAAGTCGAAAATTCTTAACAAGTTTTCTAATCAATTTTACAGTTGATGAGACAATTGATTATACGAAGATCGATTTCGAGGGACGTCGCGTTAAAGCGCGTCGTGCGCATGAGGAAATCATCTCGAGCCGATACAGACAGCCGAATTTGGCGCCGCGTAAGCCAAGTCTAACTGTAATAATATTGTTTAAGAAACAAAGTATAATTTGTATACATCATTTGTAGGGCCTCGCTTGGAGTACTCTCGCTCACGACATGCCAACAACAAACAGCGCTCCAGTTCTCCTTCTTCTTCGAGCAGCGGCAGCAGCAGCGATGACAGCAGCTCCGTTTCGCTACCAGAGCAAACGGCTGCGCGTTCACATGAGGTGAGCAGCACGACGCATTCGAATTCCCTTGAATTTGAGTCTCGTCACTCGGGTGGCTATGAACGCCATCGACCCATAGCGGGCGCTCGTCGCAGCGAGCTGGACATGCAAAAGGATATGCAGCGTATAAGTGAGCTGTTAGAGGCTACTGCCACGGCCGCGACTCCACAAATCGATGTGCAGCCGCCCACGGAATGCGGCACAGGCGGAGGCGCAGGCCTAATCGCACGCCAACCCTGGGGCGAGGTCAGCTCCATTCGTTTGCCTGCACGCAGCCGCACCTCGAACAGCAGCACATTAACCAGTCTGCGAGATGAGCCCGATCAGCTGCAGGCCAGTCCGAGCATGGAGTCCAGCGATTGGCGCAACTTCATACGGTCCGAATCGCAGAACTCTGTTCCATCATGGGCCTCCTCTATAAGTTTGGATTGTCGTGCTGGCGAGGAGCCTGTCAAGGAGTTCATGAAGCATTTCACTCAGTTGCTCTTCAATAACTCGGCAGCTGTTAATCTGGAACTGAAGTCAGAGTTTGGCGTGCTCCTGCGCTTGGAGATGGGCAGGCTGTGGTTCACTCGGTTTCTTAGCGAGCAGCGCAACAAATCGAAACGAATGGAAACGTTGACATTCAATGCACTTGCTCAATATTTCGCTTTGGCGTTGTTCGAATGCGGCGAATGCGAGGATTATGCGCCAGCAGCCGTGCTTATGAATCTCTGTTTCTTGTTCTATCATGAAGGTATATTTGCAACTTCGATATCAGGCAACTCTAATGCTCTCTTTCTTTGTTTTGTGCAGTTGAAGTTCCTGGCTGCGATCCTTATCGCGAGTATTTGTTCATATCGCTGCGCCAGCAGCCACTTTGGCAGCAACCACGTTTCTGGAACGCCATATTCCACGATTCCATGCAGGCCGAGCGTGAACATCGGCTTAGCGTGCAGTTGCGCCGGCAGCAACGCAAGCAGGCCAAACAGCAGCAGCGTCAAGAAGCAGAAGATGCCACAGTTGTTGTGGATGCTGCGGTTGCGGCAACGACAACGACAACGGCTACAGCAGTTACGCCTGCTCGCAAACATGGAGCTGATTCCTCCTCCAGCTCCTCGCATCAGGTAGCGCCGGCTGCGGCAGTCAAACGCAAGTCCAGCAAATGCAGCTTGGACCAGCCCCAATCCGCCAAGGAGCAAGAGGATATTGCATTTCGGCAATTGAGGTGCGATATTTGTTAGCTCAGCCTGCGCTCATAGAACCAGGGACTTTTGAACTAAATTCTTTCACTCTTTCAGTGCCTTTACGTGTAACATGCACAGCCTGGGCACCAGTCAGGATGTCTGCATGGACTTTTTGAAGAAACATGTTGTTGCGCTCAACCTATCGAAGGGTGAGTGTGTTATACGGATATGAATCCCAACAAATAACATACCATATCGATATTTCAGACAAAACCAAGCTAATCAGGGACAATATTTACCGAATGTATCATGAGACGGAACTGTGGGGCGCTCAACATACTTAACAAGTGTTTGCCTAACCCAAAACGAAATCCCAACTTGTTTAATACCCTACCAGCACTTATTTTTCGACTATAAACTATAAAAAAACGTTTCAAATTTCGTCTCAACTAAATTTAAATTTTTGACTTAAACTAAAACTAATCTTGAAGTAGTTAAACATTTTTACTCGCATTGTTGAACTATTGGAAATTGAATGAATAGCATATATAATATATGTATACATAAAATATGAAAACTAAATTAGCAAATATGAAAAGAATACAATATTTATATCCGCAAATTGTGATAATAATATTTTGTGATTACTTTATACTATATCAAACGATAAAGAAAACTAAGTTTTGCAAAATAAAATAAAAGATAAAGAATAACAAATAATAATCCAAAATTCACAAGAGACAACAAATAATGAACTAAAGAAATATTCTGTAATATCTGTAATATAGGTACAATAATTCCCATTTAATAAAACCTACTAATAAAGTTTAATAATTTCACCAATTTTTACTTATCTTAATATATTCCTGGGATAGAGGGATTCTCTCGCCGAAGCTCTTTCGCTGTCATTCTGAACCAAATAGAGGGGAAAAATAATGAAGAATCTGAGAGATAGACTGTTTTCCAGGCTGCATGTGCACCGGGCTGAAATCACGAATAGAGTGTGTGTTCCCAAATTTCATAAGTAGAACAATTTGTGGTATTTGAATCAGAAGCAGCTGTGTCATTTATAGACCCCAGAGCTACATTTATCAAGAGTCATTATTGGTATAGTTTTGACCCACTTCTTCAGATGATCGTGACAATGTGGAAATCTTTTATCTCCACATCAAATAGAAAAACATTAAGTTGTTTTTTTGTTTTTTGTTTAAGTATTATGCAGTTGTTCTTACTCTAATGAAACAAAATTAATTTCTAGTTTAACATTTTTAAAAATAATTATTAATAGAGATTTGAGCCAGGAGTTAGCTTGCAGTTAACTTGATTCGTTCACCAAAAGTGTTTGCTTAAAATAAAGTTCAACTCATGCGCTACAATAATATAACATAAATTTTCCACAATGTTTAGCATATAAATGCATTTTATTTTTGCCAAATAAAAGAAGGAAACTATTGCATGAGCCCATAATATAGTTAAAGTAAATATATATATATATATATACTACATATACATTATATATATACACAAAATGAATTCATATCAAATTATGTCTTCAATAATTGTTCTTCGCCTTAGATCTCGCTGGCTATAAAAGCTACATAGTTAATGTTTAGTTTTTATATTAGTTTTGCCAAGTTTGCGCTCTGGTTTCTCCCATTTTCTATGCTGGCGTTGAGGTTTTTCGTTTGCTCCTGGCAATAGTTCTCGGTTCAAATAGTTGTAGCTCCGATTTGTGGGGCAAGATTCGATTGGGCTTTTACGCCTCGCCTGTGGGCATGCGCGTTTGCTTAGTCAGATCGTATTTGTACATGAAAACGCGTCCACTCGCGTCCGCAGCAAAAGTCTTGTCCGTTTGCCAACTATGAAGATATATTTATATATATAGACATGGAGTTATTTCATTTGATATATTATATATCTACGATCCACGCACTGTTTGGCTGTTGTCTGCGTCGTCTCCGGTTCGATGTCTTTGTGCAGCCGCAGTATATGCTTCTTCAAGCCCTCGCTGCGTACGCACGCCTTGGGGCAGTGTGGGCACTTGTAGGGCTTCTCGCCCGTGTGCTCCAAAATGTGCGCTTTGAGATCTCGATTTTGGGCAAAGGGTTTCGGGCAATAGGGACACTTGAAGGGTCGCTCGCCCGTGTGTCCGCGTATATGTCGCTGCAGATTGTCGTTCGTTGCAAACGCCTTCGGGCAGTGTGGACAGTTGAGTGTCCGTTCACTCGAATGGCGACGTATGTGCTTCTGCAAATTGTCGTTGGTGGCAAACGCCTTTGGACAATGCGGGCAAATGAGTGTCCTTTCGCTGGAGTGTCGGCGTATGTGCTTCTGCAGATTATCTTTGGTGGCAAACAGCTTTGGGCAGTGTGGGCAATTGAGTGTCCTTTCGCTTGAATGCCTGCGTATGTGCTTCTGCAGATTATCATTGGTCGCAAAGGACTTTGGACAGGTGGGACAGAGAAAGGGCCGCTCGCGATCTCCGGAGTGTGTGCGCGTGAGATGCACCTTAAGATTGCTGCTGGTTGCAAAATCCTTGGGACAGTGGGCGCACTTAAAGGGCTTATCGCTGCCATTCTGAAATCTATTTAGGGTATACAAATTATTGACAAGATCAAATTAACTTCGTTACAAAATTGTCGCACTTTTTGAGTGTTTGCTTCTCTGCTGCTTGCCGTTGTTTGCCATCCATGTTGGCATTGGCGCTGCTTTGCCACACAAAGCTCATGTCCTGCTCGATCTTGACCAGGCCCAAATCTCTGTGTCGCATCGTCAATTGCCAATCCTGATTCTTGAACATATTGCAAATGGCCTCGCAGTGCTCCTCCTTGACGCACGCCACATCTATCGTTTGTGCCATCTTTTAACAGCTACGAATGTAACCTGCACAACCTTCACTTGTCGTTTCAATAAGATTTGATCAATTTTATTGCAATTTTCTTAGGGTAAACAGCTAAAAGCTGAACAAGAAATTCCGATGAATTTTTTTTGTTCGATATATCGACAAACTGTCAGCACAATTGTGATGTGCACACAGCTGTTCTGAGACAAGTTAGCAGTACCAGTATTATATATATATTGTGTATCGAAGATATATCGATTAATTTTATTTGTTCGATATATTGTCCAAAACGAGAGCGCCACAGCATATATGCTCTCGCTGCATGTCAACAGTGCTGCCACAGTGATAAATTTGTTTTTGGCGCCAATTTAAAAATTGAAAAATGCTCAACTCGGAAAATATGGAATATTTTGGCTTCGTTTTTGTTTGTTTCCACAAAAATACAATTTTATTTTGTTTATTAAATTTATTCATTAATGCAACAAAAATTAATTTACTAAACAATTTTCCATTGCTATAAATCTCAAAAACAAAGCTTAAAAATTTATAAACAAAAATATATTTGCCTGGAATTTGCCTTTGTTATTGTTTACATTGCTATTACTAAAAATTGCACTAGATAATATATGTATTTATATATACATATATTTTTGCAATACTTTTTAATACATCTAATTGGATGCGCGGACATTTGTTTATAATTATTAGGAAAAACTGTTTTATAATGTTTTCTTTTGTGTATTTAGAAAATAAAATTTTCTATGAAGAATTTCGATGAAAGGCAATAATAATAACAACTATGAAAATATAAACTAAATACAACTGACAAATTAATAATATATGTTTCACATGAATTTACACAATTATAAATTAAATATTAATTTAATGATTAACTTATTAGCAAAAACAAAGAAAAGCCGGAAGCTATATTTAACAACAATTACGGGTGTTCGGTTTAAACTTTTGTGAATATATTTTTTTATATTTTTTTAATATTTTTTTTTTATATTTTTTACTTAAATTTTGCTTTGTTATTTACGAACGTTGATATTATTTCTTTTTTCTTTCCTCTTCATATAAATATATACAATACATTTAAGATTTGAACGCGCTAAAAAAAATTAACTTTCTGTTCATGTTGTTCTTTTAGTTGGTCTCGAATTTCTTCACTAAGTTTTTTTTTACAGCAATCACACAAGTTCTTCATCTCCTGCTTGGCTTAGTCAACCAATATCTGGAAGGTAACCGAGCCCATGCGATCGCGTAAGCTACCGCTGTAGATGATATTCTTAGCCCATGCCCTACATTCCACATCCAACATTGTGCCCTTTGGCGGAGCCTTGAATTGCACAGCAACAATGGGACTCAAGTAGCCGGGCTGATTCAGATAGGGATAGTAGTAGATGGGAAAGCCTTGGCTGGGGTAATAGCTGATGTTCTCGAAATGCTCCTTATCCTTGCCAAAGTGTCCGTGGCATGAGACCCAGATTTGTTGACGCTGTGAAAATTTAGACGAGTTTCGATTGTATTTTTAGCTATCAAAGGTCTGTCAATCTTTTTTACATTGCTTGTCAATCAATCAGTTCGATCAGTCTGCTGGCCAATTATTTATTCTAATCAATCAATGTGTCTATCAGTCAGTCAATCTCTTCTCACTCTATCTCTAATCATTATCATTATCATCGTACCGAGCTAATCAGTCTATCCATCAGCTTATCTCTAAGCTGATCAGTCTGTCAATCATTTAGTTAAAGAATCCATCTGTCATTGATTCATTGTTCCAGTCAATGATTCACTCATTCAATCGCTTTGTCAATCTGTCTATAATTCGTTTAATCAATCTGTCTATCAATCCCTCAGTCAATTCAATCATATTATATCCAACAATTCTTTCCATCAGTCCTTCAATTGATCAGTCATTCAATCAGTCTTTGCAAGCTCTCGAGTATAACCTTATTTATAGATAGAGCTTTACCTCCTCAGTAGCCGTATTATTGATGACATTTACAAGATCAGAGGGCATGCCATTGATGGCCGTATCATAGCACTGTGGCACCCAGCCAAAAATCTTGTTCAGCTTCAGAAAGATGCAGGGTTCGGCCGATTTATAGCCATAGCCATTCGCCGATGAGCAGGGTCCGAAGCTCTCCGTATTGACGACGCAAACATCGTTCGGATTGTGGGTCTGCTTGAAATCGCAGTGCTTCATCTGACGACCCTCAGTATGATTATAATCTATGTTGAGCAAGAATAAATATATTGATATCCATAACCATTTCAAAAGTGGAAGCTTTCACTCACCCTTTAGGAAATCATCTACCAAGCTAATCCAATATTCGCCCTCTGCTGTCTTCTTTCTATCGTACTCAATCACAGAGCCACGTTCGGTCTGTTCGCTCAGTGGTCGAAAGCCCAGGCCGGGATTGGTGCCAATCAGAGATTCCTCCAGCTGCCATTTGGGCTGGTGGTTGTCCACAGAGGCCAGCAGGCCCTGCATGCATATGGTAAACAATATGGCAAGGATGATATAAAAGATCAAATAGAACAGGAAAAGTTGACCTGAAATGAGTCAAAGAAATCCACAAAATTAATTCAATTGTCTTTAAAAAATATAGAAATTGATCACAAATCGAAGATAAATCGATAATCGATAGACGATAGTTTATGTTTTTATTCAAATTTAACACTATTATTATCGATTATTGACGCTTTTCAATAATCGATAACAACATTTAATTAAGTGAGCGATCTTTATGAATAATGAATAATTTTTTTAATCGATAACAATCTTGATCGATAACGATATTCGAATAAGAATATAAAATCTATAGTTTATATTTTTAAAACGAATTTAGAAGCCAAATATTTGTACCAATTATTTAAAATTGAAATCAAAATCGATAACAATTGGGCTGAATAATCGATCTATACTTATGCAAATTGGTATACCTTTGTTGCCATTGTTGTTGTTATAGCTTATATTCTTTACACAAGGGCGTTACGTTCCTGCTGTGGCTCGATTGAAAACCGGATAGAAACCGCAGCCAATGCAGTAATTACAATAAAAACAACAAACAGAAAGGAAGAAGAACAACAAATGGAACCAACTATTGACCACTGAAATGGCGTGTACATACATATATACATACATAGTTATATACACATATATATGATGATTTAGAGGTAGTTATATATATATATATATAGGTCTTATTCGATTGTGTTTACGATTATTTCAATGTCAATAGCATTGACGACTCGTCAGCTAGTATCCAGTTTTTGCTCGTTTGTTACAATCGCATTGAATGGATGCCCAGCCCCAGCCCCAGCCGTAGCCCCAATCCCCGGCCTAGCCGCAGCCCCTTTGCCAACTGCATGAATAACGCAGCGTCGACAACAACCTAAAAAGCGAGACTCGCGTTTCGAATTCCCAAATTAATCGTATGAATGAATATCGAATACAATGTCTATGTCGATGTCGAGTACAGCAGGCAGCAAAAACTATTATTCAGAGAAGAAAAACAAAAAACGTTGAGTGAAAAATCGAAAAAACATCTATCAATAAGTAATCAATGTCGGCAAACGACTTTCCATATTAGATAGCTAAGTTGTTTAGCTATGGTCTGCTTCATTAAATTTGTATACTCACTATTCTTACAGGGTATAATGGGTATCATCTACTTTGTACGAACTGTACAGTTTAGTTTAACCTATCGATAACCAGCGTACCGATATTAATCGATTTTATCTAACTATGCGAGAGATTCTGTATTATGATTTGTATGTATTAAACTTAATTGAATTTCTTTTGATTAATTATAGAGACTTGCTATTATCGATATATATCGATTCTCCCAAACAAAATGCTTTTATCACGTTCATCTGCATGCATATTATTTAGGCAGTTTGATTCGCACTTAGTTCAGTTATTGATATATTGAAATCTATTATTGAAATCGATAAGTATCGATTTTTATTAAATTTTTTAGGAATACTGGCAGAGATATCTTCTCTTTCTATGTATATACACTAGACAATCTTGATGTTAACTTCTAGTTGGTTTTCAATATTTAGCGGAAATCGATAAATATCGTAATTTAGCATAGCCGAAGACTGCAATTTGATGATAACTTTGGTAATTTACTCACAGTGCCAAGCCGTGTGCATAGCCGAAGTGAGGGTGTCTGTTAGTCTACCAGTCTGCATCGTCTGCTGTTACCAAGCGGACCCAAAGTGAAAAAGAGAAAAATGAATTGCTTTCAAGTACAAGGAAATAAGTTTGGCAATGACCACACGGGGTTGGCAGTTGGCCCAGACGCCAGCACCGCTGGGCTATGACGCCAGTCACTCATTCTGACTGTCTGTCTGTCTGTCTGTCTCTCACTCGCTCTCCCTCTCTCTCTCTCACACACTTTGTCTGTCCGTCCAGCAGGCGTCGAGGTGGGCGCCTGCAGCGCGTGCGTTACCAATATCAAGGCGTATGTACTGCGATTAGAAGCCAGCCAACATTCTTATGTCTTCACCAATGTTAAATTACATGCACACACACACGCACACCCGCACACCCAGATAGCCACACACACTCTATAAGATATAAATACTTTTCCCTTGTCTGCGACTGTAATCGATAAATTTACTTCAAGCAACTTGCATATGACTCGAACAATTACTTAGTTCAATATGATGGATAGCCAAGCTGTACATGTGATATATGTAGCGATATGCACACGATGTATATATGTATATATGCGATATATGTTCCAAGGTAAATTGGTCTTTATCTAGCCTTGATTTGGATCACTCTGTTATGAAGTTAGTTCGAGCTCCCTGGGTGATCAAAGCACATTAAATGTTTGTCATTTCTGATTTTGTGCTAGTTTTCCCCAATTTTCCCCATTTTCCGCTGACATTTACATAAAAAATTGCCTCCAAACGAAATTACTTTGCACTCAATTAGTTTTCCGGGCCATTGGCATTGGGTCCCTGTGGAGTTTGAACTGGTTTAAAAGGTTAGCATTGGACAAACTATATACTATAAAGAATATAATTAGAATTCGATAAGGATTCAACAATTAGTGAAATTCTTCTATATATAGTAATACACATGTATAGAAGTTAAGATATATAGTTTATACTAGTGAATTTGGGATTCTATATCTTTAAATCTTCAGTCGGCCTATAGCTAGAGAACTATGTGAACTGCTCTTGGCTCAAGTTATAAAAAATACACTAAGAAAAATGAATTTTTATTATTGTTCTGCTTCTAGATCTCAATTTGAATTAGGGTAGCTGAACTCTTTGCTGTTCCTCATAATTTCAAGACTTTTCGACTTTTACTGCTTCTCGTTCAGTTTATGTTGGGCATCTATTTTCGTACTTGACACAGCCAGAGAGAGAGAGAGAGAGAGAGAGAGCGCGCGCGTCAGAGCGAGAGATGTGTCGAATGAAATATATTTCAAGGCGATCTGCCAAATGAGTGGCATTATAGAACCGAGCCAAAAAGCTGTTCTATATGCGATATTTGACGCATGCGAATGTAAATTGAAAAGCAGAGCAAACATAATTATTATTGCTATAGGAACTGAAATAAAACAGACTCTCAAACTGATACATAGGCAAAACTGAATTTTATATTTGTGAAAATCAATTTTGAATTGAGCTGGAATGAATTTTTATAGATAAATGCTGTATGAATTAGAAACTAAATTATATATTATGCTCATATAGAGAAAGGTGGGTGATACATCATAAGTTGAACATAAATATTTAAAGATCCCAAATAATAACCTTCAAAGGTGCCAGACTTCAGATAGATCACAGTCAAGGAAGACCATATATACATGTATAAAATAGAGCAAAATATTAGATCTATATTATTATTATTATATATATAGTTATATCTCCAAAACTGTCCTATTTCATATAGTCATTTCTATACCACATACAAAACATAAACACTTCAAAAATAACACAAATATTCTTAAGCTAACATCACGCTTTATATAGCCAATGATCTCGTTAATCTCTCTAAATGTATTTGGAAATGGATTTTCTTTTCTTTTGGATAAACTGGAAAAGCAAACCAGTTGAATACAGTTTGCATTAGCATAAGTCACATTAAAAGTGCGTGTGGCACATGTAGGGCTTGACCCGCTTGAACCCCTCCCGCTCTTCCTATGGAAATTTGCTTGGCGTTTACATAAAAAAGTCGACTAAGTACAGTTGAGTTCGTAGCAGTAAACACGATTCATCTGGAACCTTGTTTATGGCTCAAATGCAATGACCAACTCGAACAAAGGAAGTTGGGTTAGGTAACGGTAGGGGGCGCGGGCTTTGTATAGGGGTTGTGTGTATTATGTGCAACCAGACGCCGAGTTTTAATAATAACACTCAAGCTGCGCTGGCCTGACGAAGCGGTAAACAAACTTAAAGAGCCCGTGACCTATATACAACAGTTGAGCACCTCCAACCGCCAACCGCCAACAGCCAAGCCTTAAGACCCCTCGCCCACCTCTCGATAGACTCCCACACCTCACCTCACTTTGACACGTTTGCATGTCCAGTTGCTCGACATCTGAGCGCCTCGACAAAGGCCAAATAAAGTTAATAATTCAGCTGACCGCGAACGCACATATGGCTCAAAAAGCTAAATACAGTGGAAGCTCAGTAAAGCATACAGCTTTAGAAATAGAGGAAGGAATTGTTGAGGAATCTCTGAACTTTGCTTAATTTTAGTTTAATCCATCCAAACTTATGCTTGACAGCTGTTCTTTATCTAAAGTGCATACTGTACCTGTCCTACATTGTTGTTGCTGTGCTGTTTTTATGTTACCTTTAGCTAGTTGCGCGATTTCACACCATTTGTCGTGGGACTCCCAGTTGTTTAGCCCCATCGACTAGATAAATGTGGGAATTGTGTTTGCGCTACGAACTTGTTTACCTAGTGGTAGTTGCTATATGTATATATGTATGAATATATATATATATATATAAATATTCATATTCGATTCGATTTAGATTTGAATCGGTTAGTGCAGTTGGAGTAAAGTACCTAATGAAGCTTGACAAACTTGAGGCTAATTAGTAAATTATTATATATATAGCGAAGCGAAATAGATTTGTATATAGTTTAGTATTTTAGTAGTCTGAACCTACTGAAGGAGGCATGACAGAATCCAATAAGTATATATTACTATATCTATCCGAACTAAGAGTTAAGTCAGTATAGCTATGTTCATCTGTAAGTTTATAGACATCGAGTCTTGCAGCGCCTGCCAATTAGTGTTATTTTCTATTAATAAAAGCAAGTCTCTTACACAAAACCCTTTCTAATTGTATTACATTTAGCATTTGCTTATTAAATAGGCTTAGCTTCAGCACTCAGGTACCTTGCTCCAGACCCAATTGGCTTTCGTTTGCATGTGTAGAGGCAAGCGTTGAGTGTTTCCTCTTCGTTCGTTCCTCACTCGAATGCGACTCACTTGAATATTCTTGATTTATGTGCCTGGGGCACGATGACTCTCAAGTTGCGGAGTAATGAGGCGCGAGCAGGGGCAGCG